ACTTGAATGACTTGTACTGATCAATTAACTGAAGCAATACTTTATTGTACCTTGATATATAGATACTGGATGTAACAGGAAATAGGAAATAATATCCCTAAATCTAGGATATATGATACATATATCTAATTTCCTATGATACACTAAACTTCCAAAAATTTGAACCTTTGGAGAGAGATCTTTTTTGTCCATTGTTCCCTTGTTAAAACAATTATTCCTTTTTGTAAGGATTCAGAAACCATTTCTTATTGCTTTGTCATGTGTAGCTTCTCTTGGCTCCCTGAACTGATGGTTTTTTGCAATGATTGATTTGGCAGGTTGTTCCGGAATTGTCGTGTCCAATTGCACTGTTTACATATTACAATCCAATACTGAAGCGTGGTACTGATAAATTTATGTCTATTGTAAGAGAAACTGGCGTACATGGTACGAGTCAACACAAGTAATGATTTTCCAAAGTTTTACATTATGCCATGCTTCACTTGGGTCGAATTTCTGTATTAGTTCTATGATAATTGAATGTTGTAAAATGCATAGACAAAAAGAGGGAGCAGTTCCAGTTACATACACCATGTACTATTTAAAGTTAGATTTTTGGGTTTCGTTAATTTACATATTTATCATTAAGAAAATGTATCTTCACTCTCCTGTCCTGCCTAGACTTGGTTAGTGCTGTCAAAATAGGTTGTAACCCGCGAGTTAACCCCGCTCACCACGGGTTTGAGTCAGGTTGGATTTGAAAAAAATGTAATTTTTTTATGTTGGTTAGTTCTCAACCTGGCTCACTTAGAACCCAGCTCATCTGGGTTGAACCCGTGGTGAGCCGGATTGGCTCACCAACCCACCTGATTTAATTTAATTATTTATTATTTTGTGTTTCAATATTATTAGTTAGCATTTTTATTATTATATTGTAGATGGGGGTAAAGAAAAGATGTTTCAAGAGAGAAAAATATTATAGATTTATTTAACCATGACTCTAATATTATAAATGGACAAATGATACAAAAATTATCAATATTAAAAACTTATTTGTTCGCTTTTTGTGCTTGTTTTTGGATTATGCTTGGATTGTATGATATTTTTTTTTAATTGTCTTTGGAGTTTAACATCATTTTAGATTTTAACATCATTATTTAGTTAGATTTTAAAGTGAGCTAGTGAGCCTACTTGTTTAATCCACCAACCCACAGTGGGTTGGGATGGATTTGAATTTTTTTAGCTCACTAATAAATGAGTCGGGTTGGTTGACTCACTAAATGACCAACCCGTGGTGGGCTGAGCCGGGTCAGCCGGGTTACCCGTTTGGTTACGGCTTGTCAGCTTCTTCGTTCAAATTGTAAATTTTGAAACAAGATCTTATTTGTATTTTGTCTCTTCTTCCTGTGGTATGGTAGTTAGAATGATATTCTTTTCTTTGCCGTGTGAATGCTATGCAGGGCTCGTGGTCCCAGATGTCCCTCTGGAGGAGACGGAGACTTTAAGGGTGGAGGCTAAGAAAAATGGAATTGAACTGGTTTGCTTACCGTTAAATGATCTCTTGCATTATTTTGGATTTCAGATTAATATTCTTATACAATTGATCCCAATGATTGAAAACTAGTGTTGAATCCTTTTTGTACTATAAGTATGAAATCCAGTTGTTAGCCACACCAAAGGAGACATGGTGGTTATTGTGGAGATATGAACTTTTCTTGTGATTAACGGCATTCCATTCTATTGCATTATATATTTTGCAATCTTATATTAATATGTTAGTATATATTGTTTAACATTTTATAGTGTATTTCCTTTTAAATTTTGTTTGGATAAATTAATCTGTGTGTGTTTATATATCTAATTGATTTGGTATATTTACTGCTAAGGTACTCCTCACAACACCCACCACTCCAAAAAACCGCATGAAGGCCATTGTTGATGCAGCAGAAGGATTTGTGTACCTTGTATGAACTTCTTTCAACCTTATTTATTAACTTCTGTTTTTGGGCTACACTTCTTAGTCTTTGTATAACTCAATTATCTGCGTAATTGTGTTCTATATTTTTTTCCAAACATTTTATTCATAGACTGGATAAGAAGTTAGCCATTCACCAACTGGTTGCCTTCTTTAATATTAGAACGCAAATTTGATCCTGCTTTAAGCCAGTGAAATCGGAATAAGTTTTAATTTTTCTTTTTATGTTGTTTGCATGCATTTGGCATATTCCAAAAACTCGTGAACTATTATTGTTTCCTCGTCTTCAAAGAAACCAGTGTCTAGTGCAAAGTGCCAATGGTTTTATTTATTCCTCTGTTTATTAACTTTCTCTTTGACCTTCTCTTTGCACTTCATGTAGACAAAACTATTGTTTGTAGTTGGTACAATTGCCTTTTGACCTTCTGTGTTTGAAGGTAGCTTTTTGAAGTATTTACTAGGCTGGATGGGGACATTCTTTTTACAGTAGCCGGCTGGAAATTGACAATGATTAATTTTTAACCTTATTTTACGAAAGTTTGGTGTTATCTTGTATTCATGCTTGTTTTTTGTAATTAATTTTTGCTCATATTACTGCATGTTGACGATTCCAAACATTTGATTTTGATATATTTTGTCCCTAGAACTTGGTAAAGTCACCTTGATCCCAAAGTTTAGGAAATTGGATAGAAATATACTGTGATTGTGAAAACAGAAGATATCCTGCCTAAGTACCTCAGTTCATCATTTGCTGGCAAATGTCATTGACCATTTGTTGATTTAATTTAGGTGAGTGCGGTGGGGGTCACTGGAGCCCGATCATCAGTTAGTGGTAATGTTCAGTCTCTTCTGCAGGAAATTAAAGAGGTTTGTCTTTTTAATCTTTTTCTCAACTCTATTTACATGTTGTATGATGTGGTGGTTGTCTTCTGATCACTTCATAAAAGTTCAATTCTCTTTCCCTCCCTTTTTAACCCCACTCTGGTCCTGCCACTTTATCAGATCGATTATGATAAACACAATAGTCTACCATTCAACTTGGTCAATCTCAATATTTATACTTGTTTAATCCTTTTTTTTAATTGCAATCCAGGCAACAACTAAACCTGTGGCTGTTGGTTTTGGAATATCAAAGCCCGAGCATGTTAAACAGGTTATTTCTCAGTCCATATGTATATATGTTTCTACCGCAGGAAATTTGGTTAATAATCAATTATATACTTTGATACAGGTAGCAGGATGGGGAGCTGATGGTGTGATTGTTGGCAGTGCTATGGTGAAGGTACTTGGAGAAGCCAAATCTCCTCAAGAGGGATTGAAAGAGCTGGAAGCTTTTGCCCGCTCCTTAAAGGAGGCACTTCCTTAAAAATAAGCTTTAAGAGCTCAAAATTCTAGTAGTTATCGTCATTATATATATTGGATTTGAATAAAAATGTGGTTCAATTTTATTTTTTCTGATCATGATGTAGGGTATCAGCAAATTTTGTTCCTTTTCAATTATGATGAGATTTCGTAGTTACTGAAATAAATGTCCATATATAAATTGTCTCCTCGCTCTCTATTGTGCTGTGCCAAAACTTTCACTAGTAACTTGCGTCACACTTACTTAAAAGTTAAGGGGCCGAGTTGATTATGAGCATTGCTTACTATCATGAAACTGCACTGAAATGTATTCAGTGTTGTGTCCATGACAAACCCTGTCTTTGGCTTCAATATGGGCTAAGTTTTAGTATAACATGGCTTATCAAACAATTGTTGATGTGACTCCTTTCCTGTTTGTTTATGGTCGCCAGGCTCCACCATTGCTGTGGGATTTCCTTCGTGATGCAACAATGTGACATTGTCTTATTCACACTAAAAGCCAATGTTAACTTACAGAAGTTTGAATGAAGCAATTGGCTGATAGGAAACATGTTGGTGATGATGAGTTTCAAATTGTCAATATGCTCTTCAATAAACTTCAGTGCCTTCTGGAATCATTGTTAAAAAGAGAATTCTAAGTTTAATCCAATTTTATAAAATTAGTTTGTATACTGAGATTTGAATCCACTTTTATATTTTAATTCAATATTTCTAGTTTAAGGCGAGTTTTTATAGATTCGTCACTCACAATATGGTACTTTGGCATCTTAAAGTGGAGGGTATTGATAGAAGAAGAGCATCATCGTCTATTTAAGCTTAAGAAGAGGATGGAACCAGCCACATGGCACAAGGACTATTGATGTGGTAACAAAACTTATGCGTAGCAAATGAAAGGGAAAAAGCATAAAAGGAATAGGAAAATGTGATTGGATTGTTGTTGATTTTCGGGTTATTCCCTTTCCCATTGTTTTTGTGCTCAAACGTTATTCATTGGTTTTGGGATTGCTCCTCTCTTTATGTACCTTTTATGGAACTAATGTACTTGTTGAAAATTGTCATTTTTATTATTTTGAATCAGAGGGAATAACTTTTACTGAGAAATATTTCTGATTGTTCTGTCAAAAAAAGTAATAATCTTAAAATTGTAATTGAATAAATTCATTTGGAAGTAGTCTTCTACAGCTAAACAAACATCCTACTAATTAGCTTGTTTAGCAAGTGATTTGACGAAGAAAGCGGGAGAAATTAGAAACGAAAATATATTTAATGGTAATACTGACTTAAGTACACTTAAATTATATTCGGAACCCAGATGTCTTAACAAATGAAATTCATTTCTGATAGCAGAAAATGTGTAATTAAAACTCACCACTGCTCACTTTCTAGATATTTTTAATCTTTAAAAATGGTCAAATACGGACCATTTTTTGGCAATCGTGGCACTTAATCACCACAATTTTTATTTTTTAAATATAATCTATCATGCTCATTTTAAAAACATAAAATAAAATTGCTTTTAGTCATTAAAAGTTGACAGTTTTTTCCTTTCATATTTCATTTTAATTCTCCTAAACCGAAAGCTCATATTTTCACTTTATCTATCACTTATTTTTCTTTTCTTTTTTATAAATCAATTTCGTCTCCCCTTTTTCCTCTATCAAACCCACCATTTAACAAATAAATATAACTAGAAAAACAAACTTGCATCGTGTCAAATGTTGATGCATTGTAATAATACAAACATATTGCTATGAATTAAATAAAAATTTTAGATACTAAGAATATTTACATCAGAACATTCGGATCAGGTACCAGAATCTATTTTTCTAACAGTTACAACATTGGCTAGAATAACTATGAAACAACAAATTTGTTGGGACTGTGAGAAAAATTAACCTTAGTCATAAACAAAATACTTCGGATGGAGTTTATTGAAGAGCCCAACAGTCTCCATTGAAATGCCTACTGAATTTTTGAGCCAGACTGAAGACCCGCTTGTACTTTGCTTTGAAAGTGGGATTCTAACCTGCATTGAAAATCATAAATGTAAGAAACATCACAGGAAAAGGCTAAAGTAGGAGGTGGAAGTGCGAGCACATGCCTTGTAGCACATTTGTAATAAATGGTTTCTGGAGAATTATAGGTGCGCGCATTTGCAAACATTCTTCTGACATCGGCAACAAACATCTCAAATGTTACATAATATAGCTCTGACTCCACCCTTTTAGACATTGTCTTCAAATCTGCAATCAAAGAACGATTATATTAGACATAGACAATAAGACTTTCCAAGGTTGTGCATTCACATATTTTGAATTGGACCAAACTAGTTCTGAACTTACTGCAATGAAAAAAACTAAACTTTTTAACAAAATTAAACTGATCTGTTTAAAAAAATTAAACTAAAGTATTCTTCTACTTTAGCTTTTAAAATCTGAACTATCCTTAACTGAAGTGTAATTCGTGAGATTAACTAAGAATAATTCAAACAATTTCAATAGTTCAAACAGTTCAAAAACAATTCAAAATAGTTCAAAGCACTTCAGTTCACCTAAATTGTTACGTAGTTCAGTTTATTGAACAATATAGTTCAATTTAGTCAAACCTCTTTTACATGTAGAACACACACACACATGTGCGGGCAGGCATGCCCGCGGAAAAGTGCCAAAGATAAAGCTAGCTCCAAATAAAAAATAGCTGATGAGAGGAAATCATAAGAATGTGATTAATAAAAGTAGCTGGCAGTCAATATGAAGTATTTAATATACTTACCCATTGGATCTTTGATGATGTCATAATAATCAGGAACATCCCGTGCATCAACAGGCTCCTTGAATGGCCATGCGTCGGCGTGTTCAAGCATAGACTGCTCAAAAAGATAAATCCAATTATAAGAATTAATTTCTCAATCATGTAAGGATCATGCATGTTTTTTATTTGAATAAGGATCTATTCATCAATGCTCTTGTGGAATTTTGCAGTTTCCAACGAAAATTAAATTATAACGAGTTAAATGAATGGAAATTAAAGCAAATGTAAAGAATATATAACCAGCTTGCCTTTAGAAGTGATCGCATAAAACCAGACAAATGCTTTTGATTAGTAGTATTGTCAGTAGAGACATTTAGACTTCTGAATCGAGAATGACCCCACTGATCAGGAGTCCATCCAGCCTCTCCTGTCATTGCATTCAGTGAAACATTATTCAAGAAATTATCAAAGTACACAAAAATAAATCATCTCACTCAAGCATATTATCGATCAATTTTTTCCCAACACCCCGCTAGACAAACTAATCTATTAAGCCATGTCTGGACATTTGATAAGGAGGCACAATAAGAACTCACTCAAACCGGGGATGTCATCAATAATTTTTTTAGGAATGCCCGCTTCTTTCTGCACATCATATCAACCACGAGCAACACTAGTTAATATTCCATCAATAAATGATTTTACAAATACAAGAGAAGAAAAATGTGTAACTTCAGCCAAGAAATGAACGATCCTCTCTATAACACAAAGTATAAAACGTGTTTGTACCTTCTGAAAATCAATTCCAGTATAGACTATGTGACAGTTTGACAGCTCTCTGATTTTTTCATCAATAGCCTACAATTATAACCAACAATGACTAAACACATCATGAATTGAGAACATAAAACTAAATGAGAAAAGAATAGGCAGACAGTCTCTACACAAGATAGAAACAAGGATAATGCATGCAATTACAAATAAGGTCTCATATCTCTCAGCTGTAATGTTTTTTGACAGCCCCCTCCACACTTTTGGCAGTGGGTGTGTGTTCCGTACCTGACTACGTAAACTAGCCAAATACGACCTCTCACAGACAATGAACAATGATAAATAGCTGAATAAACCTCTTTATTGAATTGAAATAACTGTGTCAAAGAAAACAAACAATAACTGAGAGCAGAATCTCCGTCAGTTACCTACCTGAGAGCATAACCTCTCTTATAAAACTCAAATATTCAAAAGCATGCCTTTTACCCTAGGCTTCCCCTTTATTTATACAAATTAATTCCCTCCCCAAAAAGTACTGAATATTAGAAAATAATCCTAGTTCCTATAATTATCTGATACGAATACCTATTTACTATAATTATCTGATACGAATATATTTAGCCTTATTTACTCTATTTAACTTATACTGACCGATAACTAAGACATGGTTTTGTTACTCTAATTATCCTTTGTTGAATATCTTCTCAGAATATCTCTCTTATTACTCTAATTAATTTCCCACTCATCCTAACTGTTGCGGCAGTTAGTATGTTTCCTCGCTGCTTCCACTCTTCGACCTAGACGTTCCCCCTCAACTACCGCTCGTCCTGGTCACTCCCCCTCTTCTACCGCTCGTCCTGGTCGCTCCCCCTCAACTAGCGCTCGTCCCGGTAGCTCCCCCTCAACTACCGCTCGTCTTGGTCGCTCCCCCTCTTCTACCTCTCGTCCTGGTCGCTCCCCCTCTTCCACCGCTCGTCCTGGTCGCTCCCCCTCTTCTACCGCTCGTCATGGTCGCTCCCCCTTATCCAGCGCTCATCTTGGTAGCTCCCCCTCAACTACCGCTTGTCCTGGTCTCTCCCCCTCTTCTACCGCTCATCCTGGTCGCTACCCTCAACTATCGTCCGCCCTGGACGCTCCCCCTCAACTACCGCTCGTCCTGGTCGCTCCCCCTCTTCTACCGCTCGTCCTGGTC